AAGCCGCGATTTAAATGATCGCGGCTTCATTTACATTTACATGGCTGCCGCGCTGAGCCGACAAACAGCTGATCAGCTGTTTGTCGGCTCAGCGCGGCAGCCATGTAAATGTAAATGAAGCCGCGATCATTTAAATCGCGGCTTCATTTCCCTTTGCCTACAACCCTAATCTACATGCCTCTGCCGACAGAGACATGTAGTCTAGACACAGCCCTAATCTCCACCTTTCTTCAGGCAAATCTAGATTGAAGGAGGAACAATGTGTTGGGGGCACCTGAGCATTCACTTTGAATGCGGGAAAGTATATCAGCATATGGAGAACCAATGATCTGGTTCCTAACTGTTACCTAAGTTGTAACAGAAGATAAACTTTCTGCTATTTGTGCAGGTTTATTTTAAAGCATTTTCATCAGCAGCATTTGCATGTTCTTTCCTGGTCTCATTTTGGCACTTCCTTCATTAAAAGTACAATTTCCACTTTTTTAAAAGTGGAAGATGTGGAAACCATTTTCATAGTTAGCTAGTAGAAGCCATCTTGTATAACAGAAACCATTTCAGCTTCTTGCTTCTGCACTATACCAGAGTGAACTTTCTGTCACCCCATGTGAGAGGCCTACAGGATGAGCTATTGGAATGTGTTAATTGAGCTGTTTGAGAGGGGAGCGCTCACTCCTTGTTACCTGTCCCCCTTTCTTGCTGATAACAGTTTGCCTTTTAAGTTGAATTGATGATTTCTGTAATTGGATGCCCTGACGTCAAACTTGTTTGGTTAAGGGTATAAGATACTAGGATTGATTGTATTAGCCAGCCTTACTGGGCCCGGCTCTGCTGGGACCACGTTTGGCTCACGTTGTGCCTTATTGATCAATAAAGCTGTTTGTTAGCCGCCTAACCACATGGAAGCTTGGTTTTTTGCTTCAGCAAAGATTTACTTTTGCTATTTCCTCAGTTCATTAGCTCGGTGGAATCTGATGACTGATCTATTTGATACTTTGTTGCCATAAATGCTGCATAAAAAATGGTTGATAAATACATAACCATTTCCTGAATAGTTGAAAACATTTTTATTTATAACAAAATACTACGTATATTCCGGCATACAAGACGACCTCTGATGTTAAAAAACATCCCCCAAAAATCGGGGGTCGTCTTGTATGCCGGGTATACATCCCAGGCGCGCCTGGGATGCCCTGCCGCCGGAGCCCCTCTGCGGCTTTGATGCCCCGCCGCCGGCTTCCCCCGAGGCTTTCCA